AAAGAATACAAAATAATCCTAAATAATAACTACATTAAATTAAATTAATCAGTATCACAATATGTATTACGTACGGACTTACGTGTTGGAACTTTAGAAAAAAAATTGAAATGGTATTAAAGTATCAGCCCTAAAAATTACGTTAAGGCTTAAGGGAAGCAGCTAGGAAATTATCAAACTATAGAGTGGTTAGAACTCAGAAATATGATCTATGTTCATATTTACAAAAAAGCAACTATTAAACTGMTACAGGCCTACTTTCAGACCATCAAAATATCATGCAAGTAATATTCCATATTCCAATTTATTGTTTCTGTATACTGTAAAATAGATAATAAGAAAAGTGGAAATTAAAGAAACTTATTGAACATCTATTGACGTTAGTAAAATTTAAAAAAAAWTTATTGGTAAAGGCAATAATATAGGTATTATGAGTTCCTTATAATTTGGATTATATATTAATTCCTTAAGTATTTTTAAAAGCTATTTAWATTTACCTTTTGGATATTAATTTTCGTATATATTGTTTGTTTTTAGTTAATGTCGGAGCGTATTATTCGTCATGTGACAAAAGTTCATGTTACCCGGCTACTGGAAATTTATTGATTGGTCGGGAAAACCACCTTGTAGCGTCTTCGACTTGTGGTTTGAAGCAAAGGGTTCGTATTATATTCGACTAGGTAACAAATAAAAAAATATTTACATCTGAATAAATTATATTTTAGGAAAGATATTGTATTGTAAACAATCTTGAGGATCGCAAAAAATGTTTTTGGTGCGATTCAAGACAACCGTCTCAGCCAAATGCAAAGTATTCGCTAAGTCACAGGATCGATAACATTGTCCATGCATCCGGGTAAAATTATAAAACTATATAATATATCTCAACTCACAAATATGTCTTGTTTGTACCTGCGTTCTATGAGTTGTATATTTATTACGTTATTTATAGTGGTGTAACTTCTCAATGGTGGCAATCGGAAAACGGAGTAGAAAATGTCACTATTCAATTAGACCTCGAGGCTGAATTTCATTTCACTCATTTAATCATTACGTTTAAAACGTTTCGGCCGGCAGTGATGTTGGTTGAGAGATCTTACGATTTTGGAAATACTTGGCAGGTAAGTGAAAATCTCAGAAAACAATATTTAAATATCCATTGCATCATAATAYAAGGGCCGTTTGAGCAGAGTAGTATGATATAATATTTGACGATTATAACATTAATTTTTTAATCATTTTAGGTGTATAGATACTTTGCGTACGATTGCGATTCCGTGTTTCCGAATATACCAAAAGAACCACCGCGCAATTTGACCGAAGTCGTATGCGATCAGAGATATTCTTCTGTACCTCCTTCTGCGAGTGGTGAAGTACGTTACCTGTTATGTTTTTATAGGTTTTTGTTCATTTTTGTTCATTTTAATATATTTAATTTTCTTTGTTTTATATATATTTCATTCTTCAAAACATTATCGGATCAAATTGCCTATTTCTCGATACTAAACGCGAGTTTATTATTTGTGTTTTTACGTAGGTGATTTTGAGAGTGCTGCCTCCCAATCTACACCACATGTATGACGATCCGTATTCGCCAGAGGTACAAAACCTGTTGAAAATGACCAAYTTGAGGATTAATTTCACGAAACTTCACACGCTTGGGGACGATTTATTGGACAACCGAGATGAGATTTTGGTGAGTAGATTATATAATTTTTAGTTAAATATTATAATAATATGTAGAGTAGCAGGCCAWGCCGTACGGTTGACAATAAGATATTATGTTGTCGATGATCCATATTATGATTTGCATATACCTATAGGAAAAATACTACTACGCAATCACAGAGATGGTAGTGCGAGGTAGTTGTTCGTGTTACGGTCACGCATCCAGGTGCTTGCCACAAGACGGCACGACCAGCAAACCGGACATGGTTTACGGCCAGTGCGAGTGCACCCACAACACCAAGGGCCTCAACTGCGAATCGTGTGAGGACTTTTTCAACGACTTCCCGTGGAAACCTGCAATCGGCCGACAAACGAACGCRTGCAGGCGTAAGTTGATTTTGCTATGCWAGCAGTCATAATATTCTATTCTCGACGGCTTTTTTTTTTTAAGGTTGTAACTGTAACAATCACGCGACCAGCTGTCACCACGATGCTGCTGTGTTTGAGTTGACTGGACGGACAAGTGGTGGAGTGTGCGATGGGTGCGCGGACAACACCATGGGCCGGAACTGCGAACAGTGCAAGCAATACTTCTACCAAGACCCCACAAAACCGTTTACCGACCACGATGTCTGCTTGCGTGAGTGACCTATTGTTAGGATTAAAATAAAGTGTTTAGGAAGTTCACTTAAAATTTAAAAATTGAACTCTTTCAAGTTCACATTCACCTTCATGGCTTAATTATTTTTTTCAAAATAATACGTTCACGTTTATTAAATTATTTATTTAATAATGAATTACTTTCCTTATCTACTGAACATTTTTTATACACTATTTATACGCTTGGATGTAGTTATGRAATTCACTAAAAAAAGATTTTTTGTTTAAAAATATGAAAACTTTCACGTTTCCACTTATTTATAAAAATAATTGGCATTCGCTATCAATATGAACGTGAACGCAGTTAGCTATTATTATGTTCACAAAGGAGTAGGTACACTTAAACTTTAAACGTACGTTCATTTTGAAAACGTTCATTTCGAATGAGTTCCTATAGATTTGATGAGGCAAAACCATATTTTCAGATTATTTTTTTTTCAAATAAATTTTAAGGATAATATTGAACAGTAGTATTTTACAAACATTTTTTTTTTTGAATATGAGACATTTATTTTGAAATGTATTCAACAATATAACAATATTACAATACTTGTGCAGCGTGCGATTGTGATCCTGGTGGTTCTTTGGACGACGGAATATGTGATTCCAAGACTGATCTGATTAACGGATTGGAGTCTGGCCGATGCCACTGCAAACCCAATGTCGAAGGTAGACGGTGTGACATGTGCAAAAACGGATTTTGGAACTTCAGCGAGTCAAACTCAGATGGATGCCAAGGTATATTATAGAATAGAYACTTTGGGAGTTTATTTTTAATTTAATATTTATAAAGTAGAAAAATTGTGATTACCAATTAAAATGTAAACGTCTTCACTCCTTCTAATTCAATATCTACTTCAAACGCCATCTTTTAATCCTGTATCGGGAAAACACAATAACACCATGTCAGATCCCTAGGCCTAGGTACTTTAAAGGCGGTGGCAGATGCATACAACATTTAAATCTAATATGTAGATATGCTTGAGAATGTTTAATGTTTATCTCGATGTTTTTTAAATAATTTTTATGTCCGTAGGTACAAATATAAAAAAATATGTACCCCTACCAATCTTACAAATTGATCTGACATACACTAATTATGAGCTACATAGTACCAGGGCAAATCATCCCACATATTTTCAGTTATTTTAAGCTCGTTAATGAGAAAGTCTAAAATAATAATAATTTTATATAGC